GGGTCAGTTAAGGTAAGTTCAGTTTAAATATCCATTGCCCTGTCTGGATATGTACACATGGTCCCGGGCTCGTGTTTGTTATCTATCTGCTCCAGCAGTATCCTTCCATTGTGTAGTGAGAGTAAAAACACTGCAATGAGACACAACTAGAGATTTTGATTAACTGACTATTGATTAATTTCCTATCTTTATTTTCAATTTGAAATAAATTCAAGTTTTGCCTAATGACAAAAAGTACAATTTAATGTAATGGATAAAATAATGTAGTAGAACTTCCAACGGCTTCACTGCACTTCCTGAAGCTAATGCTAAAAGAAAACCAAAGCTAGTCTGGGTCTCCACGGCTATTAGCCTCCGCTTTAGGCTGGTTTTGATGGCACTCCACTCTGCGGCCCAAACAAACCACCTGTTTTAACTGGAGGTCAAGGGGGCAACCCAAAACCAAAGCGTGCCCTCCGCTTGACTGCCTGCTAATGGGAGTGGATGTTTATCTAAGGGGTCAAATGCCTTGAAGATGGGGTCATGACCCTAACATCTTAAGCCGTGACCTCTCCCACGTGCGGAGCGCTCCTGCCATAAATTAGCCATGGTCGCGAGTCCTCAGGCTTCAGCGAACAGCACATTTGTGTCTTTTTCTAGCTCTCACATTACCGTCCGTTAAGAGATTTATAACATCTGACTCGAATAATGAGCCACACAAGTGCTGAGATTTTTTAAACTCCCTTTTACAAACAAGAGAAAATAGAAATATCACAAAATACAATAGAAAAATTGCTGAGTGATTGTTTTTAAGGTTCTGTCAATAATATTTGAATTATTCCATATGTGTGGCTTAATTTTATTGATTAATCATTTATTAAATATAAAAAACATTAACTGGTTACAAATCACAGCTGTTATACTAAACCATTGTCTAAAGTATGAAAATTGTGCTCATTGTACACGACATTGCCATAAATACTGTCTGTATGTTGTGTGCCTATAACTACACATTGTTTTTCATTTATATATTGGATTACTAATGATTGCAAGCTTGACTTTGCTGAAACATTACTAACCATTGCAGCTCGAGCTCGTGAAAACTTTGAGTTGAGCTGATGTAAATGACCAAAATCTCTTTTATACTTAAACTGGGCACAGTTTAATTAAAGTTATTCTTTTTCCAATATGATTTTTCTTTTATTTCAGTCTATTAGAAGCAGATGAACAAATTACAAAATCAATGAGTAGATTTATTAATCTCTGGCAACACAAACTTTATTAGGAATTTTGAAAAAGATCTCAAATGTTTGGCAACCCAAGGCTTCCTCAAGCACTGATTGAATCAAAATGTTACATATGACATAAAGACGCTGTTGTATTGTGCTTGCCATCTCAAAGTAGGTTACAGCCGCAGGAGTGTTTGGATTTTACTGGAGCCGTCCTCATCTCTTAACGCACAGATCTGATTGAGCTCTACTGGCTGTTTACACCATGCTTAACTAAAAGGTTCTTGAGTACTACGTCATACTAAAGGTTCAGTGGTTATTTGCCATTTTAGGTGCTCTATTGGACCTGTACATTAATGTTCTGAATGAAACGTTTAAAATTGATGCCAAATAGCTCTTAAAGTTGTCCAAAATCTTTTTTTTAAGTATACATATATAGGCCACATACGCTATTTTGTTTATGCACATAAAGACACCTCCTCACCTCACGTTTTTGTTCACAATGCAGTTGGGTGGAAATTTGAAACCAAAAATATCCCAGTTCTGATACATACTTTACATAAACAAGACATTTTAACACCCAAATTAAAAATGTGTAAAGAAATTTGTTTTACTTCAACATCCTTTCAATTAAAAGACAGAAAGCTATTGAGGAATAGCACAATGAGCCTCTTAGAGGCCTTCTTTCCTGACAGTTCCTTGAGGATAACCGAGAGGGAACTGAATGTTCTCTTCCAGTGCTTCGGGATAATATCGATAGGTAGCTGTGTTGTTGTCTAGATGAAGTGGGTGTGTTTGCTGGCTTGCACCTCTATGGCCTGGCAAGAGTGTGGGATAAATTTAACTAGATTTTAAAGTTTGCACGCAAACTTCGATGTTGGCTTGCGTTGGTGCCGTTAATACCCATTTTTTTAAATGTTGTCAGTTCCGCAACAATAACATAATCCAACCCCCATGTCTCTATGATTCTCATAAGCTGAGATAGGTACATGCAAAATTGGTTGCTATGGTAACCAGTCTGGTTGCTATGGAGGGGTCAGTGACCTAACACATTTTTCCCCATGTCAATACATCAACCCCCATGTCTCCATGACTTTCCTAAGCTGAGATAGAGCTGTGCCATATTGGTTGCTATGGTAACCAGTTTGGTTGCTATGGAGGGGTCGCTGACCTAATATATTGCTCCCCATATCTATACGGGTAAAATACAGCAACCCCAATCTCTCTATGACTTTCCTAAGCTGAGATAGAGCTGCGCCATATTGGTTGCCATGGTAACCAGTCTGGTTGCTATAGAGGGGTCGCTGACCTAATATATTGCTCCCCATATCTATACGGGTAAAATACAGCAACCCCCATCTCTCTATGACTTTCCTAAGCTGAGATAGAGCTGCGCCATATTGGTTGCCATGGTAACCAGTCCGGTTGCTATGGAGGGCTTGCTGACCTAATATATTGCTCCCCATATCTATATGGGTAAAATACAGCAACCCCCATCTCTCTATGACTTTCCTAAGCTGAGATAGAGACATGCCATATTGGTTGCTATGGTAACCAGTCTGGTTGCTATGGAGGAGTCAGTGACATCATGTTGTAATCTACTTTCCATTTAGAATAATATAAAGCAACCCCCATGTCTCTACTGTGTTCCGTTCAGAAGATATTTGACATTGATAGTTTTGTAAAAAAGTGGGTGTGGCTTAATTATTTTATGTTAAATCACAAGGAATGATTGGCTGGATAAGTGATTTGCTTCTTTATTTCTAGTATGACTTTCCAGTGTCAATCAATTACAGAAGCTCTTTCACAACAGGATCTATGGGATTCATGCTCCATTCATTTCAATGGGCCATTGAAAGTCAATGAGACACCTTTGACCTACTTATTAGTAATCAAGTGCAGCTGCTGCAAAGGGCCAGCTGTTGAAACTGCCAGTTTGAACTGTCAGATTTTGAAATGATGGCAAATCTGCTGGAGAAAATCCGATTTTCATGCCTCAATCAAATAAAGATTATAGAAGAACCATAAGACATATCGAAATGATTCTTTCTTTGTCAGAAGCAGAAGACCCTAACGAAGAGAATGCTGTAATTTTTTGTGAAGGTGTGATTAGAAATAAAAAAATTATGGCGAGCTACAAATAGCCTTCATTTGATTCTGTGCAACTGCTCATTTCAGAGAAATCCATACCCTCAAACAAATAAGGATTACGAATGAATGACCAGAGGTATTGAAATATTTCTTTTACTGTTAGAATCCCAAGATTTTAAGGAAGAGAATGGTGTAAATTTTGTAAAGCTGTGATAAAGTTTGAATGATTTATGGCGAGTTAAAAATAGCCTGCGATTGAGATTTTAAGCAGAATCCAACAGAATTTTTGAATGGAGGTGAATGGAGCAATTATGTGCACTCGTTGTGGTTTAGGCCACCTGGCGTAAAAACCGTGTGTTTTTTAAAAATGAAAACAGCACCAACTGAAAGAGGACAAAAATCTCTACCATTTAGATATAAAATGTGTGTGTAAAGGTTAATTTTTAGTTGAGAAAACGGTGCAAGTAGCAACAAGACTGAGCTTGCTCAAAGTTAGAGTGAGCGATGACATCACCACTCTAGGGCCCCCATAGGTAATGACTTGGGCGATTTTTGGGCCGAAATTCGCGATTTTTACGGAAACCGCTGGTCAAATCGGTCCGAAA